TACATCTCATTTCCCCTGATGGACCAAGCTTGCCAGGTGGCTGGAGGGAGAAGGGAAAATTAGGCTGGTTGGACTGAAGCCTTCTTCTTCCTGAGGCTGAGTCTTCCCTGCTTTTCCCATAGCTCCAGAATTATGTTTATATACCTTCCAATAATTTTCCAAATTAGGTTGACAATTAATTAATTTTACGAGTTGTTCTTTGTCCCTTTAATACACAGCCATTTTAATTGTTCCCTTTTCAGTTTCAAGGACCAACTCAGTCCTCTAGGCTGTTTCAACAACTAATAGCTGTGGGCATTTCAAGAACAAGGAGCATGTTCAGCTTTTGCCCCCACAGCCCCCCTGAGCTTAGGTCTGAGGGGAGGGGCACAGCGGAGCTGAGGGCTTGCGGTTTCTGCTCATCGTGCCGCGGGAGGTTACAGAGGATCACGTGGCACTCTGTATGCAGCAGGTTGGGAGACAGATTCACGCAATTTCAGTCAAGAAATCGGTTATCTTCTGGGTTTGACTCTTCAGCAGGAGCTGCCATGGAAAGAGAGACAAAGACTGCTAGCTGCCCTGCACTGTTTCCCCTTTCCTTCCTTAACAATGAACAGAAGTGTACATCCACTGAAAGATCACCTCTCCAGGCTCTGTGGCACAGAGTTACTCCATGGATTCTAAGTGTAAGTCAGCAGTGATGCGACTTCTAAGAAAGTTTTTTGTAGGTGGGCATACATGCATACTTGGCCATGAGGCACACCCTTGTGCCTTCCTCCTTCTAGAAAGTAGACATGACAGTTGGTATCGTAGTATCCAGCTTGTGGCTGTGAGGCAAATGCTGAAGATGGCAAAGGAAAAAGAATGAGCCTCATGCTCGGGTGAGCATGGAGCTTCCACTGTGACCCACTGCCTGCTCTTCTGTGTGAGAAAGATGAAAACACACCTCATTTTATTTAAGCTACCATTATTCTGGGTCTGTTTCTAGCAGCAGGACACTGCTCCCAATCAACACTGCATACTTACTCCTCTGATACTGTCCTACAACGTTGATCCCAAAAAGCCCCTTTTCAGGGATGGCCTTCATGTCAATGGCATAATCCTCTGAGTGAATGAATAGTGGGTTTAATTTGCTTCAGGGATCAATATCATACTGTGTTGAACTCATGGTGAGAAAACCGTATTTTCCTTCAGGAGCTTCCTTGCAGAAAGTACTCTTTACACCACAAATGTGTGCTCTGGAAGATGTGTCTGCGTGTGTATCTCGTGGATAAATGGGAAGTGACCACATGTAAAGGAGGCTGGCTTCTTTTCCAGTTCTTGCTCTTGTTTCACAAATGTTCGTCTTTCCTCCCAGGCAAGGCTTCAGGTCCTCAGGATTGACATGTGACTGGCATCTTCTTCACTCTTGGTGCCACAACCCTTTGAAAAGTATTGCATACAGGAGGTGCTCAAATCAATTCTTGAATGTCTGTGTTCTTGATTTTACTATTAGCAGAAAGACTGAGCCCATATTTCTTTCTGTGCAACCGCCACTACCATAGAAATATTCAAATACCATAGTGAATACTGGTCATACTCGCAGTAGAAAGAGGAATAGAGACAACACAGGATTGTTTATATAATGGCATTTTCAAAGCTTTTTCACATGGACTGTTTTGCTCCTCTTCACAACCACCCACACAGTAGTCAGGACATATATGAATGCCATGATTTTACAAATGAAAACACTGAGGTTAAGCTTAACCTGAAGGTAGATAAGTAGTAAATATGAAGAGTCAGTCTTGGGGGACACCCAGGAAAGGCTCATTTCTGGGAGTCATGCATAGAAAAATGTCTGTGTGTGTCTGTCTATATGTATGTACATGTTCGTATCTGTGTCTGTGTTTTTATGTGTGTGTCTCTGTGTGCATAACTGTGCCTGTGATTCTGTGTGTGTGTGTGTACCTGTGTGTCTCTGTGTGCATGTATACATGCCACGTGTGAAGATATGCCACAAGTGTCCAGCCTCCACAACTGTTTCCCTAAATGACGGCCCCTGCTTGCTGCCATTTTTCTTACTAATGTATCACTGTCTAATCAGGCTGCATTTATCCACTTTATTAAGTCATCCACTCCAGACCTGGGCAGTATCTGTCTGCCTCACACTCCCCCATGCTTGCCGACCTTGTGTCAAATCCTCTCCTGTTTCTGCCCTCTCTTGAGTGGGATATAGATTCAAGGACACATTAGCATGCTTGCTCCCTGAGGTTCAGCTGGGAGAAGCAGGAATGCCTGGGCACCATGTGCATATACCTGCACTGTGGGCTGCCTGCCTCCCTGGCCACACACCCCTCCTGACACCTGCCAGGTGCCACACCCAACTTGGAGTCAGCACCAAGGCCAAGCCCCAGGGACAGCATTGCAACACCGTGGTCAACAAGGTGCTCACCTGATTTGTCCTGGGCTTAGACACATCTTTCAAATGAAGAAGGGTAAGGGTAGGTACTTGCAGTGAGTCTCAGAGGAGCTCACAAACCACTCTGTCCAGTGACTAAGGGATGGTATGGGTTAGGTGGAGGGAAGGGTCTGGAAGCTGGGCATGAAATGACTGTGCAGGAATAATTCTCCCAGGGGTGTCACAACCACCCAGGGCACACAGGAAGTCTAAAGCAGGCACAGAGACAAAGGCTACCTCCTCAGTGGGCCCACACTGAGGTTAAGAGGGGAACAGAAGACTGCCATTGAGTACGTATAAGACAGTCTTTGAGATGCCAAGAAGAAATGCCTCGTAGTGAGCACGTGAATGCCCCTGGGGAAGGACTCAGGGCTGTGGACACCCACACCAGCCATCCAGCACCCAGGTGAAGGCAAGATGGCATGGCTGAAAAATACAGATGGGAAAATGGCACACATGGCACCATTTAGAAATATTTGCTCAGAAATAGTTAAAAAAAGAGAGATTATGAACCATATTTGCACCAAGAGCTAACGTAAGTCAGGTTCTCATCTATATGAAGAAAACAAGTTCTTCCACCGAGCTTAAGTTTCTCCATCCAGAAGACGGCTTGATACAAAGCTGGGAGCCCACAGCTCAGCCACCATCTCCACAGGGCCCCCGCCCTGGCAGGCTGCTCCAGGTGGCCAGGCCAACGCCAGTCAGGCTGAAATCTCTTCTTAAGTCCCACTAACAGACACTGATGATGTCCCCAGATAATAGTGGTCTTGACTCACAAGACCAGGTACTGGAGTTGGCTCTGCTGTTAGTTAGCCATGTGACTGCAGACCCGCTAAATTCTAGCTAGTGAACGTCCTGTCTCCTTGTGCATAAATGGGTACAAATAATCCTTGCCCTGTTCTATCCAACATCCTGCAGCCATCTGAGGGAGGGGCTGGGCCCAGGCCTACTGCACAGGGCATGTCTGGTGAGGGCTGTGGGGCGCAACTGCCTTCCTTTGACAAGTTGTGGCAGGGCACCCAGCCCACCCAAACAATGTCCCTGGCCCTTTCCATTGCCAGCATCAGAACTAGGGGGTGCTCATCCCCGCACCCTTCACCTCTGTCTCTGGACTTGCTGCAGCCACCGGCTCCCCTCCCCTTCCTGCATGCCCACTCACAGACCCCGTCTTCCAGTCACATCACTCACAGTCCTAAGGCTTTAATGGCTCCCAGTGCCAACTGAATAAACGTCAAACTCCAAAGCCTCAAGGCCCTTCTCAGTTAGGTGGGGGCCTGTGTTCCTCTGCCCCCAGGGGAACCCACAGTAAAATGGAGCAGTCATACTTAGTAGTAATAGGGGACTGTTAATAGCAATAGGGGTCATTTTAAGTGTTTCTAAATTTATTGTTATTTTCTTAAATAGACTAATTACAGCAAATGCTATCCAGGTTTTCCACTATTTTCATTTTCCAATGACTAATCAAGAATTACATACAGATGAGCAGTTCCTTCCTGGTTGCCTTGCATTTTAAATTCCTCCTAGTCACTGTGAAGGCAGAACTGATGGCACTTAATTTATAAAGGAGGTTTTATGGACTTATGGATGACAACAGACAGCCAATCAATAAGGGATGATTATAACAGCATGTAATATCAAGGAACATTAGGTCTCAGGCATGATTTGGGGAGAGAAGTAGGCAGTTAGAAGCCTTATCATTTGAAAAAGGTCAAGGCCTGGTGGCAATAAAAATGCTTAAGGAAATAAAAATCACACCTGTGAGTCAGGAGAGGGTAAAACTGCTGAATGAAAAAAGGGTTTTAGATTTTGTGGAGAAATTGCTTCCGTGGGCAAGGCTTTGGGCTGCTGTGGGTTATGTGCAGTTGCACCAGGAGAGGGTCTGTTTAGTGCTGCTGAGCACAGTGGCCATGGGATGTGGACATGAGAGTGTTTCTGAAAGCCCAGCTCTTCCTGGGGCCAAGACCTGGGTCTTCCAGGAAACAGTGGAGGAGTCAGAGGTCACAGAGAGCCTTAACGTGATGGGGCTGGGCCTCTGCACAGGAATCTAAGACCCATTAAGCTTTATGACATTCTGCCTGGCCCTTTTGGTGTCCAGGTATGGGGAGGAGTTTTTACTGATATAGTAAATTATTTACTTGTGTAACTGAAAAAGAAAACAAACAAGTTGCAAATTCTATTACCAATAACCATACTATGTCCCTAAAAACAAAATTCTAAATAATAATTCTCTTTGAAAAATATTCACAGTATCACATAGGACTCCAAGGCCAGCTTTACTACAAAAAATACTATTATTCCCCTTAGAAAAAGTCAATTCCACAGACCATTTCAAGAACAGGAGGACTAGTTAAAGGATGTATGGAGATACTTCCTGTCCTTAGAACCAGAAAAAACATACTTGTTTCCCATCTACAGTGTTGCTACAGTTTCAGAATAGATGGAGACATTAAATATGTGATGACTGTCCTTCTAATTGCTCCCTAGGGGATTGAATCCTCTCTTTTTATGTCAACATGCTCTACTCAAACTCTGCAAATCTGGCTCTTTAGAAAGATCCAGCCACCCCTTGGGAAAGCAAGCTTACCTCCTTGTAAGGTGTACTCAGTCACTGCCCTGCTGAAGACGCCCAGGCCAGCCCCGTTGTAAGCTGCCACCTGTATTTCATACTGTGTCCAGATAATCAGCTCTGTCACCAGGCAGTAGGTGACCTCTGGGCTACTGATGTTCCTCTGCTGGTACTCTCCAGGCAGCCCAGCCAGGCGGTACCTGCATCAGAGTGTGGAGAAATGGCTTCAACCAGAAACTGGGTTTACTGGCAGTTAGTCTATGTGGTTAGAGAAAAGTGGAAGTAAATAAACAAGAGGAACACTAACAGGTCAGCTCCAGACAACTCTACTTCCTAATGCAACCATTCAAAAAGTTATAACTGAATTTCACAATGATTATAAGCTCTGGGCAAAACACAATGATATTTCAACCATTTACAGTTAAAGGAAAATTATAGCTTTTTAAGGGTAGCTTATCTAGACAGTACAGTGACTTTAGTACAAATTCCAGACATGATTTCTGTCAGGGTGTTGCTATAAATCAGTTTGAACAATATTTTCCTCCCAAGACTCTGAAATGTGGGGAGAAATAGAGAAGCAGGCAGTTCATTGCCTCTCAGTCTCTGGAAAGCTCCCCACCCTCTTTCCATTTAGGAATTCTAGATTCACTCACGTAGGTCCCAGAATGAGAGGCTTTAAGAGGTGTTCACACTTCTAAAACACTAGTCTGATGCTAAGCATGATAAACTGCATTTTAGGGGAACTTTCAGGGTGTCTGTGTAGCATGCCCTTCACTTACTGGGGGGCAGGGGACATGGGTGGAGGGGTAACCGCATGGTGGCAGGTGGTACCCAGGCTTACTGTGCTGATCACTTTGTGTACATACAAAAAGCGAATTATGATGGTGTACACCTGAAACTAACATATGAATTTACCTCAGCTAAAAACAAACAAACAAGGAAATGTAGACTAAGCAGAATAACTCACCAAAAAAAGAGACATATTTAAGGTTATATTTATTTTTAAAAGTGATATATGTGATTCTGGACTTTGAAACATATAAATTAGGAAATTGCTATTTGTGCTGTGAAAGAATTTTTAAAGCATTATTTTGAGGAGCAAATGTTTGTCCATGATTCCATTTATAGAAGTTCATCAGGTTCCCTGGTTCAAGTGAGGGGCACAGACAGTGGAAGTGTTTTCCTCAGTCATTGTCCAGCTTCCAAAGCATCAAATTCCTATGCAAGGAGTGGTTCTTGCCCAAGAAGATGTGGCTTTGAGTGCTAAGTGGAAAGGGAAAAGACTGAGCAGGGCACAAAGCCAGGGTGGCAGCAAGGACAGGTTCGCTCTTCACAGTGGGTTGGGATCCTCAGGTTCTGCCTGATTTGGAGCAACTCTGCCAGCTCTGCCAGCTTGAGTCCTGGGTGGTCAGCCCGTGGTCCTCAGGGGAGCAGCACCTGGACAGGAAGGCGGGGGGCCTGTGCCAGATTCATGCAGACAGCGTGTCAGCAAGGCTACCACCGTCGGTAAGAAGAAGAAACCCTGAAATTCAGGCCCTTAAAGAGGAAAACAGCTCTCCATAAAGAATGCTGGCTGCAAATGCACTAAGTGCAGGAATGGCAATAAAAGCTCTTCCTGAAAATCAGGGTTTTCTGGGAGTAGTCTTTGCTCCTCTCTTGTTCTGGAGCACCTGTACAGTGAGGCTTGCTTGATAGGAAAAATGAGTGATCAAGAGCAGGCAGCCTGCAAACAGCAAGCAGGTCCAGGCTGCCTCCTGCCTCGGGAGCAGCAGCAGGTGGCCCTGCAGGGCTGTCACTCTGCGATGGGCAGAATGGAAGTTTATGTGTCCCATCACATTCCGTCCACCTCCAACACCACTCAGTGGGCAGTCCTTTCCGGAGCTGCCCACACTGAGCAAGTGCAGGTCTGTTCAGTTCATGTGTGTCACGGATGGTCTGCGAGGCAGCGGGCAACAGGAAGAAAGGCATGCCATGGAATGACCCAGCTGCAAGCTATTTCCATGTAAATTCTCCAACTATGGAACAGGAGCTACCAAATAAAGGGCACTGGGACAGCTGGAGAGCCACTAGGAAAAAGGTAGCTTGGCTCCACACCCACAGCAGACACCAGAGGACTCTGCATGTGAATGGGGCCCAGGATCACTTGGAGCCTATATGGCACATTCTGGGTGTGGCCGCTTAAGAGCTCACTTGTGTGGACACATCACTATATGATACATATTCCAGGGAAAAGCAAAGAAATTAGCTCTGGAAGACCTGGGCTGGGAAGAAGACTTAAGAGCTGGGTGGTCTCAAGCAAATGCTTAACTTCTCTGAGCCCTGGGTTCCACCTCCCCGAAATAACATAATAACAACTGCATTTCACAGGGCTGTCAGAAGAAAAGATTCAACAAAGGCCACCAAAGAGGTGTAACAGAGTGAAGCATCCCCCAAATGGTTCTCTTTTTGAAAACATTGCTCTTTGGGAAGTATGCTAAGGGAAAACCCTGAGCTATATAAGAAACTAAGTCTGCATGAGCCACATATCTTCTCCTCCCAGGCCTCTGTTCATATAGATGCCAAATTACCATCTGGGAAGTTGGCTGTGCTCCCTGATATGCAGGTGGAGTGGTCCATTTTGAAAGGTGGCTCGGGTGCTTCTGTAATAGTCACAGGACATCTAGAAAGGTCAAAATTAGTAATGGAAGCACAGGGCATCATCCTTTGACTGGTGGGACACATTGCCCAGGAGACCATCTCAGATAGAACAAGATGATTTTTTTAATATGGAAAAAGATAGGAGAATGTTTTTAAAGGACATAACCCTGCTGCTCCTCTCAAGGAAACACCCTGCCCATTATTATAAATATTTTATTACTGCGAATGCATCCTAACTACCGCTTATGGCCAGAGCTCCGAAGGTGATTTATTTACATTTTGTTCTTCTGTGGACTGTGCAGCAGATCTGACATAGAGGCTTGTGCCCTGGAGGAAACATGCTTGCAAACAGAGCTGATTCACAGACTGGAGAATTATTCAGAAATGTTTCCAAGCAAATTCAATTTGGCATGGACCTTTAATTTCTGGAAACTTGGATATTCCCAGGCTGTGAGCAGTGCACCCTCTTTCTCAGGCTTTCTTGGTTTAAGTCCCTACAAATGCAGATGCCCCCTTTCAGGGAACTCAACTGTGACACCAACACAGAACACCTTTTAACAGCAGTGACCCTGCAGAGTGGACGGTGTACAGTCTCTGATGGGGCCTCGCAATATGACAGAGATTTTCTTGATTTTCTTAGGAAACTCCATGCCCCAAGCCTGGTTCTGCAGGCTGACTTTTAAGGTCCTCACTTGGCAGCTGAAACTGAAGGAAACTTCTCCTCCATGTGCTCAAAACAAGACAGAAGCAGCTGCATGACAAGCATGTGCAGGGCTGGTCCAAGAGGGCAAGGCCAATTATTTTCACCAGTTGTTGAGCATGGAACAAGAGTGACAGCCAGTGATGCCAGTGGGATGGAAGACCTCAGCCTTCAAGCCTCAGGCAGCAACAGACTTTCTGGAAGGGCCTTGGAATTTGGGAATTGTTCCGGAACTCATAGGCACCCTCTACCTGCCGGGGGCAGATCACAATCTCCTCTTCATCCTTCCTTGAAATGGGGAAGGCCAGCTGAGGGTGCAGCCATAAAAGGGCCCTGAGTGCTAACTCCATTCCCTCAGCTGTCTATGCACGCGTGGGGACAGCTGCATTTATACCATATCAGGCAGATGATGATGGGGCTTGGGGTTATAGGGCAATTCACATGCTTAAGGGAAAACCTGAAGACAGCAGTGAATTGGTTGTGACAGGCCAATATGACATTCAGAAAAACAGGTATTAGCTTATGAGTGGATGATTACATAAGTACAGATTGGGGACAAGCTGTACTCCATGCACAAAGGTAACAGAGTTAAAGCAGCCACACTCGTGTGCTTACATTTATCTAAGAAATTACATTTATCCACTTTAGGCCTTGTTAACCCAGTATTTTCTTGTCACTCAGAATGGGCACAAGCTTGGCATTTGGAGGATGTTAATAATGCACACCTATGGTTCTTGCCACTTGAGGAGGGAAAGGGAGTCAAGTACTTGTCAATTAACAAATCCTTCCATGATGTAAATCTATCAGATTTAATCATCCTTCAGTATGGCTTTACTTTTTTCTTTTTACTTGTGTCAACAAACCACTGCAATGATCACATTTGGTGCAATTTAAATATCAGCAGCGCTCTCGGCAAAGGAGGTGTCTGTCTCCTCCTGGACCTGCCATGGTCAGTGCGGCTCTCTCAGCAGGCTAGAAGCCTGCCCGCCCCTCAGAAGGCAGAGATAGCAAACCGGCCACACTTAGGCCACATGGGGCCTGTAGCTGTGTGAGTCTGGCCCACCCTGTGTTTCAAAATACACCGATTTCCTTTCTAACCTTTAAAAACTGTGAGATTGCATGTAAAAAGCTACATTTAAAAAATTTATTTGAAACACTAGAAAATTTGGCAATGCTGAACATCATACCAGCATAGCAACTCTGGCTAATACTTAAATCAACTGCATTACTATCAATTAAAAATTATTATATTTAATAATGTGTGCCCCAGGAGAAAACCTATATCAAATGAAAGGATTGACAATGAATAGAATCCCTTGCTCCCAAACCATGATATTCCCCTGCCCAAATGCAGCCGCTGATGGGCTTCCTGGGCGTGCTCACTATGGCTGGGGTGCAGGCTCTCCCTGCAAGGCTGTCTGCCTTCACCTGTCTCTCTGGTTTGCCACAGTCTCCACTGCATTGTAGAGTGTCACAGCTGGCCTGACTCTCTCGACTACTGCTGGGCTCTTATAGACATCTGAGTCTGTGACCTCAGGATAGACACCTGATTCTTCATAATGACAGTGTGGTCACAGGCTACTTGCCTGAGGATGTACCCACGAAGCACTCCATTGTGCTCTGTTTCTGGGGGTGGCTGCCACTGGACCATGATGGACTGATTGGTACGCCCACTGGCCACTATATTTTTTGGGGGAGCACTGGGTGGTTCCTCAGGTAACATCAACCTAAAAATAAAAGATGGGGAGAGAAGAGGTATCAGCATTAAGACCAAAGGACCACCATTCGCTTGCTCTGTCTTACTGAATCTTGAACCTATTTACGAAAATCAGGGACATATAAGGCAAGCACACAGCTCGGCAGAATGAAGGGACATGCACAGAACAGTTAAAACAAACCAGCACAACACAGTCCAGGAAGCCAGGAAGAAGTAGGAGGTGACCTTATTCTGTCTGAATAACCCCCAGCACCTCCACTCCTGTGAAGGACTACAAGCTGAGCCTGTGCGAAGGTCCACAGTGTGAGACTCCTTCCAAACTGTTCTCTTTGTCTCTTCAGTATTTCTCATATCAAACTTCCATGTTTATTTAGTTTTCAACTGTTCTACGACTGAAGCCCACTGAAAGCTCAGGTTGGCTGGGGAAGGCAGGCTGAAATGTGATGACGCCATTTTCCCTTATTAATCTGAATGGGCATCACAAGCAGCTGCCTGGGGTGGGTATGCTTCAAGGCCGCCACGGACACGCTGCCACCACAGAAGTACTGAGCTCATGTACCTTTCCTTACAGCACTCCGCAGGGTGTTACTTGTCAAGATGGTGGCCCCAGATCCCACCCTGGTGGCAGTCAGGGGGGATAACGGGCATGAGAACACTGCAAGCTCTTAATTTCACGTACACAGAGGACTGTGCTATCAGGAGTGGTTTGTGTTGGCACAGCCAGAGCACCTCAGAAGTCTAAGAAACTTCCCTCAGAGCAGTTAAGGAAAAGCCAGCTAGTCCATATACAATTGGGTTTTCTCTCTGTCACAGTCTTCCCTGCTCATGCTTTTGCGAGCATCACTGCGGCATGGAGGTTGATCACTTTCATCAATTTCCTCCAGCTCACACGGTGCCTCTGTTTTGCTTTCAGGCCAAAGCTGCTCCTTGTCACACCCAGGGAGGCACGTTCACACACCTGCTTGTCTCTGCACTGTACTGGCCCTTGCCCACTTGGTTCATGGCACACACCCTGAACTGATAGGTGCGAGCTGGAGTCAGGCCACGCACAGTGACACCTGTCATCTCGGGGCCAATGTTTGACAGATGCACTTTCCATGGAGAGTCTGAAAGAAAGAGCAAAACAAATTCAAATCTACATAAGCACATGACTGAGTAATAATAAGCAAATGCAAAATGCATTCCGTAAATTATCCCATTTGCTTACTGAGGCAGATGGAGTGGTTATCCCCCTTTAACCAATGTGGACACCAAGGCTCATGGTCACGTGGCCAGTAACTAGTCAGCTGGTGGGAACTCAGGGAAACTCAGGTTTCCCACTTCAAGTACAGTGTGCATCCCGTTATCCCTGTGCTGCTGTCAGTAAGCAAAGGGAATTTTTGTTCAACCTGCATATGGCAGTTTAAATAGAACCAAAATATTCTTCATTCCTGTGTTCAGTATGTGATGGGAAAAAGTTCCCTGTCAGCTCATGTGGGTGGGTGGATTGCAGATTTGTCTCCCAGAAAAGGATGCTGCACATGTCACCAAATGATAAATAAAAACTCTATTCATTAACATGTTAATAAAAGAGGAAGTGAGCATGATAAAGACAGATGGGCTGTGCATTTGCAAGCCATCTGCGAGGCAGCCATCACACCACCACACCCCCGAGTGGCTTTGGCTGCTGAGAGATGTAACAAAATTCACAGCGAGTTTAGAATATCTTTCCACCCAGCTTTCCGGCAGGTGTGGAAGAGCAACTGTCAGCCAAACAGGTTCTCACCTGCGAGGCTTCAGAAGGTTCTGCCCAGCTTCTACACCTTTGTGTGATTTTTTTTTGCAGAGTTTAAGTGTGCTTTTTGGCCTGATGCCCTGAAATGAACAAGACATGGCAATGACCTCGAGCACCCACTGTTGGTTCCCATTGGGTGGTGCTCTGGTGCTTGAACTGCTTTTTCAAGTTATCAGTGAAGTAGAACGTGTGGAGAAAGATTCTCTGGAAATCAGATTCTTTCCTTGGAAGTGCTAAAACCCCTTTCATTCTCATTGGAGATGGTCAAAAGTGACCAGTGATTCCCACAGTGGCGTCGGGCAACACTCAGATTGCAGACAACGCCACAGTGTGCACGCTCCCCACACACTGGATGCACAGTCACCTCTGCACAGTCCCAAACACCTAATCTGGGGGTTCGGAGTGTGTGCTGGGAACCTCGTCAGAGATGCACTCTGGTTCCTTATGAGTCATTGAGAAGGGGCCACCGACTACTCCAAGATGAAACGGGGTTCTCCAAGGCAGCTTCTGCTGCCCCTCATGCAGACATGCCTGTCACTAAGTGGGAGTTTGTTAGCTGGATTTCTCAATAAAAAGTTATGCTGCTCTGAAGCATGGTTCCAGTTGGGCTACGCAGGCTGGCGCTTTTTAATTATTTCAAATAAAGCTCCTTCCAAAAATGGCTTTCTGGGAATGCAGTCCTCACCACCAGCTGCGCATTTCAGTGTTCTTGGCTTTTGATTTTCAGCGCCACAGGTAATCTACAGCTGATGAGGATCCCCCTCTCTTTATGTTTCCTCAAAAAACGCAATGTGTGCATCCCCAATTTACTTTGGAAAAGCTCACACCAATTTCTCTTTTTACTTTGGGAGTCATATCCTTCTAGATGCATCAAGCAGCTTGCAGTGATTTGGTTTTCTAAGCAGATGCCCTTAGAGAAAAGGTCCAGCTGTCATCACAGAAGATGGAAGAGCCATCCCTAGCCTCAGTGTGCCTGGACTGAGCTGGTGGGAACCAGGGGCTCACCATGCCAAGTCAAGCTTCAATGGAAATAAAGTTTTCATTGTGATCTATACTAGAAAAAAACAGACTGAAGCTGATTATGAGCTCTTCCACTTACAGTTGTTCAACTGTGAGATTCCTCTGTAAAAACTAGAGGACAAATCAATACCAAAATGAGATCTGTCTCACACCCATTAGGATGGCTACTATTAAAAAAGCCAAAAATAACCAATGTTGGTAAGGATGTGGAGAAATTGGAGCCCTTGTACACTGCTGGCGAGAATGTAAAATGGTACAGCCACTATGGAAAACAGTATGGCAGTTCTAAAAACACTAAAGATACAATCAGCATACAACCCAGTGGTTCTTCTTCAAAGTACACACTCCAGAAACTGAAAGCAGGGTCCTGAGGAGATATTGCACACCCATGTTCATAACAGCATCGTTCACAACAGCCAAAAGGCAGAAGAAACCCAAATGTTCACCAATGAATGTATGGATAAATAAAATGCGGTCCACCCTTACGAAAGAATATTATTCAGCCTTTAAGACATTATGAGATGCATCCCACAACATGTGTGAACCCTGAGGGCATTAAGCTGAGTGAAATAGGCCAGTCACAAGAGGAGAAATACTGGATTATTCTACTTAGTAGGGACCTAGAATACTCATTTCGTAGAGACAGAAAGCAGATGGTGGGCGCCAGGGGCTGGGGGAGGGGGCTGGGGAACTGGGGCTTCATGCGGACAGTTTCAGTTTGGAAAGATGTAAACGTTCTGGAGATGAATGGTGGTGACGTGCTTCATAACAGTGTGAATGTGCTTGATGGCCCTGAACATCAAAATGGTTAAGCTGGCAAATTTTGTTATGTGTATTTTACTATGATTAAAACATTTTTAAATGGTGAAGAAGTGGGGGAATAACACATAGCTCCCGGGACTATCAGGAATATGAAACAAGAGAATGTGTCCTGAGATGTTCAGCACAGCGCCTGGGCCATGTGGCCCACTGGACATCCCTCTTTTCCGATCTCCCTGCCTTCTCCACCAGCTCCATGCTCTGGAGGACCTGCCTGCAGAGATGGGCTCTTTCTTACTCAGTGGGAGATGTCCCAGACTTTCTGCATTCTTCACACCCTGCTTCCTGCTTTCTCAGGGGCAGCTCTACCTGAGCTCTCTTTCTAGGCTCTGCAGTCCCCTTGTCCCTGTGCCCTTAGGGTTGTCCCAGCTCTGCTGCCACCAGCCCCAGGCTACTGAGGTTCCCTCTGCTCACACCCCTGGGAACTTTCCCTGTGTAGACTTCCTCCTTGATTACTAACTTAAGAGTCCCATCTACTTCCTGCAGGGGCCCTGACTGGTACAGTGCTCCATAAAACTTATCTTCTATTCCTTTTTTCCTGTAGACTTCAGTGTCTGTAAGCAAGCTCACCCGCTCAGTCAGGTACAGAATGAACAAGAGCAATTTTGCAAAGAGGCAAAGTCAAAAGGCCAGCAGTGGAACCAGCTAACTGAACTGATTATTCACACTGAGGAAGGGGCAGGGAGCACTTCAGATGCACCTTGCCTGGCCCCATGGCCCCTGTGTGGGGCTCTGATTCTCCACCATTTATTCACTCAGAATGTAAATAGCTTCTGAAAGTGGGTAACCTGAGCGGTAGGACCTGTTGCCCAGTTTGATTTGACAACAGGGTCTATTAATCTGCCCGCACCTTGGGGATCTGCACAACCTTCTGGTGGCATCTATAGAATTCTTTATTCCTTTTCCTCTCCTACTAGAAGATAAAAGATCTGGCAGGAAGAGAGATTAAACTGAAAACTAATACAAATAAACCCGATCCGTCTCATGGGCACTCCGATTTGAACAACAACAAAAAAGTGGTTTGGGAAGGATTTTCTCATTCACAAGCTTGCTGAGAATGGTTAAAATTTAAATAGCAAGTCTGTTCCTGACAATCAATAAGTAAAAGCCCTTTAAAAGATTCTGCTCCAGGACCTCACAGAGGAGTAACTAGACGTCTGTCTCAGGGGCTGGAATGTAGAATCTTTTGATAAAGAAAACTGTCCCATAAAAGTTTGAATAGCTTGTTCCTCCCCTCAGGGGTGCCTCCTGCTCTGATCTGATCTACAAGACTAAGGAATTTTGGTCTCCCTCAGTCAGGCATTAAACACACTTCTGCTACACAGACTGGTACCACTCATTTTTCTCTTGGCTTCAAGTGCCCAGAATCCACAAGGAGCTAATCACTCCTCCACAGGGTTGGTTAAAAGCTGGTGCTTTTCAATCTTTGCAAATGTACTGGAAGCTTTTTCCAATAAAAGGAGCACTATCATTTTCTCAATTAAAGGTGCTTGAGGAATGGAAATACTTTTTCAAAGAAAATGTTCTGAATTGCCAGGAGGGCCATCATTACAACTAATGCCTAACAGGTGTGCAGCAGAAATGCTGTCACATCTGTGACCACATGGGGTCTGCTGGGGAGCAGGTATGATCTCTCCTCCTTCAGACAAGGAAACCAGGGCTCAGGTTTATAGACAACTGCACCCAACCTCTCCTGGCTGTCACCTCCTAACTCAGGATGTTAGGGTGGATCAAATGTCACTAGAAGCAGAGCAGCTGGGCCTCCAGTGTCCTGGCGAGATGCAGTAGGAAGTACCCAGCAATACCCAGGACATATTGACACTCACGCACACAAACACACATACACACAGTCCAAGAAAACACACAAAATCAAAGGCTGAATATACATTCATTCATTCATTCCATTCTCTGGGCAATAAAAAAGATGCAGGAATCAATTAAATGGCACCATGAGATGCCGAATCCTGGATTTGGGACCTTGTGCAGAATAAATGCGCTGGCCTCAACACCAGGCAAGAGCAGGGTGGGGGTGGGAAGGTAGGTGGGCGTTTGTATCAATTAAGATTTGTAAGAGACAAAACAACCCACACAACATATGGACCTTGTTTGGATTCTCATTCAAATAATCAACTGTAAAAGGTCATTTTTAAAAGAACAATTAGGGGCAATTATATGGACTGAGTATAAGATGATATTAAGCATTGTCATTATTTTTGTTAGGTGTGATGTCCTTTGAGCTGTTTACTGAATTGCTTAAGGGTGAACTGACATATCTGGGATGTCCTTTTTGGATAGCCAAAAAAAGTGGGGAATCAATGAAACAGATATGGTAAAATGTTAATGGTTATTAAAACTGAGTACATGAATACTCTGTATCTTCGTGTCAATTTAGTACTTTACACCAAAAGTTTTTAGAAAGTGGCTATTTTGTCACATCACCAGCACTGAGCATTATAATCATCTGAAATTGCATATTTGGCAGATTAAAATGTA